TCAGCAAAAATTTTGTAATTTTGAGTTTTTTGTTTTATCAAGGTTCATCATATCGAGGTTTCACTGTACTATATATTGTACATATCGCCGGCGTTTAGTGTTATGACTCTTTAAAAATTTCCTCATCATTGTAATGCAAGCACTTAAATATCTGTTAGGGTGTTGGATTATTCGCCTTTTTTCCAAAACCGGTTTTTGAGTTATTAGAAAAATTGCAATTCGAAAAAAACCCGGTTTCCTATTTTAAATTAAGAGAAAAGCCAGTTGAACCGGGTTTATTTTACATAGTTTTCATACATTGAAAATGCCTATGTGAGTATGAAGTCAAGGCCAACAATTACAATAAAACCATTAACAGTATAAGAGCCGTTTTCTTAACTAACTTTAACTTTAAGGCTCACTTTATATTAAACAATTGGCTTAAAAGTAAAGCAATGCCTAAAGTTAAGCATTTCATTATCGGCGGAAATAAGATTGGAAAGACCGAGTCAATCACCCTAATATCTACAATAATATGTGTAGCTCGGATAATACCATCATTCATGTACAAACATAAGCAGCCAGCCGCTATGCTGTAGTGGTTAGCAGTGCGCGCTATCATTCCGCCTGGCCTGGGTTCGCGTCCAGTTTCCGATTTTTTTTTCTAATAGCGATCGCTCCTCGGTAGGCAATGGAAAATTTCTGCCGGACAATCGCACCTAATGAACTGCGACGTCTCTGTGGACAGGCCAATCCGGTATATGTGAGAGGGCACGTGATCATGACTGGTTGGAATAAATAAAAAGTCTGGTCTGTCTAAAGCCGCCTACACTTTGATTTCGAGCCTTGAGGGAGACCAAAAAGTCCACAAAACGTTTTCCATCCAACAAGTACAGACGATGAGCCTTTCTTAGTCAAATCGTCGGCGACCTCGTTACCTACGATCCTGCTATCCAGCACTGTAATACCGTGTTCCTTGCTGTCTCAAAAAATGCACAACCCATCGCTGGGAGAGTTTTCGAAGATGATCACTTATTTATATAGCGAGCAGCTTGCTTCAAGACAACAGAAGCGCTGCGTCTAAAGCCGAACAGATGCTTGCGCCCCCTACATTAGATCCTGGCTACGCCCTTGTATGCAACACAAGTCAATATTCGGAGTCGAATTCAGCTCATACATTTGTATGTACGTAAGTACTTATGTATCATGTATGATTAAAGAGTAGAACCGCCTCAACAAGTTGAAAAATCGTTGAAAAAGATCGCTGCAAAAAAAAAAACACACAAAGAAAACAAAAAAAGCGAAAACAAAAACTGGTAGAATTTACAATTGCAAAAGCGCCAATAACAGCAATATTTAACTGCAACTGACATGCTATACGGGGGCAATATACATATGAGCACCACATACATAAGTACTGCATACACATATTAATATCTGACAACAGATTTGCTGTTGTACTTGAATTTATTGAGCGGCCGAGTGTAGATCAGTTTGGTCTACAGCAACAATATTTTCGTAACAACATGAATTTAAGACCACTCCAAACTCGAGGTCTACTTGTACTTTTTAAAAGACCTTGAGTAGAAATGTGCCGTACATACATACATATGTATGTATGTATGCAGGTAAATAATCGTATAAACTCCACAGCAGCAAAGCCAGCCCTGCAGGCGCGTCTCTTTTTGATATTTTGCAGTCATAAGAACGGATTTCGAGCTTAAACTTATTCCACTTCCGATTTGTGCGACCACAGCATATCGAACGAATGTTTAGCTGAGAAAACCTTAGCTCACTTACGCATCCTGTAATATTGTTTTATGAACAAATACTTACATATACATACGAGTAACTAGTATCGAGTTAGAACACTACCTTTATGCGCTTCCTTTAACTAATTATAGCTTATCCTGTTTGCCGCAACACTTCAATTTATACATAAATGTGTAGGCATGTTTATATCATATGTGGTGAATTCTAGACACAGACACATATAGTGCTCCTAAGCTTGGCTTGGCCTGGCCTGGTCTATTTTACGTAGGCCGAATGTTTCCGACGCGCTTGTTTTGTTGCTATTAATTTTGAAATTGTTTTTTTTTCAATCTCTGTTTTGGCAGCCAATGATCATCAATTGCTTCACAATTTACAAGTTGCTACAATTTGCTGTTGCGCTGTCTCAGCGGCATTGACTTCGATTTGCGAAAATTGATCAGTGTTGCTGATGCGGTAAATATTTTTTTTGTGTGTTTCTTTTGACTTGGTGCTTTCGTTGTGCGACTATTGCAAATTGCTTGTTGTTAATTCTTTGTATGTATGTGTAAATATAGTTGAAGTGCATTTATTCTTATATGTATATAGTTGTAACAGCTTCTCAATTATGGCTAACACCCAGGCAATGCATTCGCCATTTTAGCCGCTATCATACAAAGCGCCATGAAACTGGGTTGGACAGAGTACATTTGTTTACGGTTTTCTGTTTTTCTTAACTCATTTTACGAGACTAAGTGAATGAATTGGGATCATAGCTTGCTAAATATTATGTACGTTTTTTTTTCCATCAATTGCGTTGCCACTTAAGTAAACTAGTGCCTCTAGTATTCTTTCGCAGTTAGTTGGCTAAAATTTGCGATCGAGAAATATATATCTACAGGTTCATAACCATTAATGCTCAAGATACTATCAGCTTCCCTAATACTAAAATATAAACAAAATCCTAATCCTAAATGGTTCGACTGTGGGTTAATGCAAGTGTATTAGGCTTGGTCTGCACGATGCCAGTCAGTCACTGAAGAGGTCCACCGACGTGTCGTTGTCTTCAAGATAAATCCGGATTACGTCTGTGTGATCAGGATAAGCCGACCCCACCTTCTCTGAATGGAGTGCGGCTCACACTCTCGATAGGGTTTAAATAACTTTTTACTGTTCTCGACAAGAAGTTGGACTGGACTGGAAGGTCCTTTCCAGGAAAGGCATAATTGCGTACAAGGCAAATGGTGAATTCATGTTAATCACGGGAAGCTTACGCTATACTCACAGAAAAGTTGTATATATTTAATAAAAAAAAATCGTTTGCCTGTCGACCTTTACGGTAGGTTTTAGGCGAGCTGCTGAGCAATCAGATTAAACCCAGCTCATACCTAATCCGGTCACTGGACAATTCCAGATAATATACTCACCCCTATTCTGGTTGTCGTAAGTCGTTCGCATCGACAGTCGTTCGTTGAATTATGTTGTAAATAAAAACATTAACGAGAGATTTTAACACGTTTTCAGTACTTCTTCATTTCGAAAGGATAATAGGAATAAAAATGTGCAGTACATCTCAAATTTCGACTAACGACTTTCGTTCCGACAATCGGAATAGGGGCGACTATACAATTTAGCCACTAATGTGTTGTGAAACGACAACGCTACGATTAATTCGCATGGAGTGTTAAAAAAACACACTGTGCGTCGTTCGAAAGGCAAACAATTTATTTTGTATACACCAAAAAGACAAGTAAGCATGGGGGCGGAAACAAAATCGTTTGGGGATGTTTCTTCTGACAATGATTAGGTCTTTTATTTTAGATAAAGGACACCATGGCCGCTGTTTAATACAGGAGCATTTTGCAACATGTTATGCTGTCATATTAATAACAAAACATACCCCTGAAATGGTTTTATTAAAAAGAAAACGACACAAAATTTTGCTTCATGGTTGATTCAGAGTTGCAAATGTGGCCTAGATACAATGCCAAAATCAATTCTATTATATCAACCCGATTGAGAACTTGGATTTAGCAATTGTGGCAGAAAGCCCAGAAAGTATGAGGTGCTACTCCATCGGAAACCTGTCAACAAATAATATAAGCCATGCGTAATGGAATAGGGAAACTTATATAAAACTATGGAGGATATACTGGTTATTAAAAGCCATGGACTAAGTAAAGGATGAACGGAACTTTTTGTTTTTATTTAGAGAAAAGTGTTTTACATCTATTATTTTGACCAATGATATCTTTCTATCATTACTAAACTTTTGTTTTAAAATATAGAACGAATTAGTTATTAAACAAAAATTTTGTACACCTATTATTTTGTCCATCAGTTTATATATAAGTAGAGGTTTGGCTTCCAAAGGACTAACATATGGAAATGCCGTTTACGAGTTGAATTATACATACATACATACATGTGTATTTTGCAGGGAGTATGAGTAAAATAATTTAAATCAGCATTTAATCATTATTTTATGATTTTTATTTTTTTCGTTTAAAAATAATAATTATTATTAAGTTTTATTTTTTCGCTCAACGTAAATAATTATTATTTGATTTTTAATTTTTGGATCACAAGTAATGATTATTTTATGATTTTTATTTTCTTTTGCTCAGAGATAAAACTTATTATTGAGTTTTATTTTTCCACTAAAAAATAATGATTATTTATAAAATTGATAAGGCAATTTACTGATATTTAGACCTGAAAATGTTGGTACTTAATACTTTTATTATGGTGACGCTACCTCTGAAAAGCATACGTCGGAAATCAAGCGGGTATAGCTTTTAAGATTTTTGAATGATCATTATTCCTAAGTGAAAAAATAAAACTCAATAATAATTATTATCTTTAATAAGCCACAATAATATTGACAAATAAATAATTATTATCTTTGAGCGAAAAAATAAAAATCATTAAATTATCATTATTTTTGATCGAAAAAAATAAAAATCAAGTACATAATAATTATTTCCTTTGAGCGAAAAAATAAAACTCAAGTTTTAATTTTTAGATATTTTTAATCTTTATTGATTAAACTCGAAAAATAAAAATCATTGTAAATTACAGTGGGGCGTACGAACGCAAATACGTGGGTATCGTTAAGATTGTTTTACGACGATTACAACTTGTTATTTTTTTGGTTAAAAATTAAAAAGTAATGATTATTTTTCGTCCCTGGTATTTGGTATTTTCTGTCCCTGGTATTTTGTATATGTATACATATATATATGTAGTAGGTGTGTCACACGCTTACTTACCACTGTATAAACCCAGTAATTTGATCGAGGAAATGTACATACTTAATCCACGTGGAAAGTCGATTTTCTTTGGCCACCTGCGGTCGAGTGTGAGAATTAACCAAAAAAAAATTTAATTTCACAACACGAACTTTTTCACTTTTGGTAGCTAAAAGAATGAACTAATACATTAGTACATATGTATGTATGTATGTATGCACTACATACATGCTGCTGCTGCTGACTTTCCTTTTAATTAAAAATCAATTAACCTTTCGAATTAACCGTGCAACTTATCGTGTCATTGAATTTTCAACGGATTTTCATGTGCGCTTCACGCTCACGAATGACTGAGTACAACAAACAAACTATATAGTATGGACATACATACATATATTTTATTTATTTTATTTTTTTTGTTGTTTTTACTATCGTGTAACAACACCAGCTGTATAGAGCAAAAGATTTTGCACTTGCTGCTGACACAATTGTTGTAGTTGTCTTGCTAGTTGTATGCACGGTTTTTATTTTCACTGTCGTTATTGTTATCAATTTTAAAGTGAATTCATATTCTTTGTTCTTTTCATTTTCGCGCTATTGTTGTGACTTTATTTTATTTGTATGTATTTGTATTCTATTTGTTCGCAGTTTTCCATTGTAAAGTATTTGGCTCAAAACTATCTTAGCTTATTTTTGTTAACACTTTGTTATGTCTACATACATACATATGTACATATATACTTCTTTTATGCCACCTTATTCACTGGCAGAACAACAACAAACACCTTCATGCATCCAATTGTATAAAATGTACATACACACACATACTTGAAATGCTTGCACTATTTGTTCGGGGAGCAATAACCGGTTTCTGGTAACACTAGCAACAACAATCCCCACTGAACTCCAATGAAACTATTTGTTATAGAAAAAAAAAACCACTGTAGGTAAGCCAGAAAAGTTAGTAACGAATGTTGATGGGGAACCAAACGGAAGATAAATTGAGTGGTGGTGAAAATCAAAGCACAACAAAAATTACGTTAACAACGGTGCGCGGGTAGGGGTCTTGCGGCGGACATGTTGCTGGTAGTAATAAGAAAAATTCCAATGTGCGCGCGTCGTGACCACGAAGAATGCAGCACTGCACCTTTATTATTATATGGCGCAGGAATATTATGCAGTGGGCATACTATATGTCTGTATATGTATGTACACATGCAAGTATATACAATATCCAAAGTATGCAGCAAGTTGGCACTAAATCCACGTAAATATTTTTTATATGAAATTCGATATTAACTGCAACACAATTATCTACTTTATACACTTGCCTTAGAGCAATTGCGCTGTTTTTTTTCTTTTTTGCTTTACTTCTGCATTAGCTTTTGTTGTTAGAAAATTTCTTTACACTTCACTGAACTGCAATTTACGCACCAGCAAAGAACTGCTAATAGAAAGGTAAGCAAAAGTTGCTTACTACGTTTTATTTCCGTTTACAAATAGTAAAGCAACACTTTGTTTTTAGAAATTAAACCGATTGCAAAGTGAATTGCAATTTAGCGACAACAATCAAATCCAACGACGACTCAAAGAGAACTGAAGCAATGAGAGCGCCTACAAATGGTGAAGTACCTGTTTGTGATTATGCCGTTGGTATACAGCCGGCTCAACGCTTGACTGACTGGATGGCTAGCTAGCCAGATCGTTCAGAGAACGTATATAAATTATTAATAAATTTATATATGTACATACATACGTTCTCTGGCTCGTTGGTTAGTTGATTGGAAAAGTAAAACTGGAAATTTAGTATAGCCCAATTGGAATAATTCAAATTGGAGAAAATCGAGCGCAAGTGGCAACTCGGCAAATATCACAACATCAAAATGATTAAATTTAATTTTTGGTTAATTATCTTTAAATATATATGTAAATGAACAATTTAGTGTGTTTTATAAGTCGACACATTTTTGCTGATATACAACATAAAATTTTGATTTTAAACGTTGTCTAAATGTAAAGCGTTGCCAACTGAACTTGCAAAAACTGTTCCGTTTAATGACAACTACATACATGCATAATTATGTCATATATAATTTAAATACATATAACAAAAATCATAAAGTAATAATACAATGTTATCATATGTATTTAACAGGCAGACTTTGATTCTAGTAAGCTTTCACACGCAATAATAACTTAAATCGCTCAAATGGCAACCAATAATAACGGAAACGCCACCGCCATCTTGGCATTGCTATTGGAAAGAAGGAAGGAAATAAGGAAAACGCAAATCGAAATGAGTAAAGCGAGCGCTTCAATTACAAAAATTTAGAAAAATTATTTTGGTGTAATATATGAATATCTATTGCGTGGCTAATATTGTGTATTACTAAAGAATGTGTGTACAAAATACCAAAAACAAAAATGTGTAGAAAGAAGCTTAAGTGACTTCATAAAACTGGGCAACGAGTTTAAAGCATTACCATAAGCTTATGAGGTATGTATTAATACTTATTAAATAACATTTGAGTATTACAAGGAGCTTCTGGAGTTAAAAATCAAAAATGTTCATGAAAATATATATTAGTAGAAATAATTGATGGCCTGCTAATGTTTTTGTTTTTGTGTTATCATTAATCTAGTTAATAAGCATTTGGGTAAAAAATTTAAAACAAAACAAAGTTTGTTTCCACGATTAGAACCAAAGCGCCTCGAGTGTCAGAAGTGTGGGATATATTTGTGTAAATGGTTTGGGTTCCGTATCTGTTTATTCGAGGCTGGTACAAGTGAGTGGCACCGCTTACCCATCCAGCTTGAAAGGGAGAAGACCAAGGAATTCAATGGCATGATTCTCTTTCTCCTACGATTCCAGCGCTCCTCAGGCGAGCCTCTTCAAAAAAGGGAAAAATCGAAGGTCGCCTACACAGAAGGAAGTTTGGCGTAAAATTACTATGATATCACCTCGAAACTATCCTGAACATTCATATGCACAAGAAATATTATAGAAATGTATACCATTGTTAAAAGAAGAGGGGTTTCCGCCCCAACTCTCTGGCAATACAGAAAGAAGAATTCTGCTTAGGGAGGGTTATAAATTACAAACCTTAAGTGCGGCCGACGGACGCCAACGCGGAAAGGTGCTCTCCCCAAAAATACTGTGGTAGCGTAGGCGGAGTTGGACCGATGAGGGCGAGCAAAAGTCCTATTTATTTTACTTTAAATATTTGTGGCATTTTGTAAGCAAAATCAACGATTTTTTCTCTATTTTGGAGAGGCTCGCCCGATGAGTCTTGGATTCGGAGAAGAAAGGGAATCATATCATTGTATTCCCTGGTATTTGTTCTTTCAAGCTGAAAGGTGCCACGCCCTCTTAATTTTTTTTTGTTTATCCTCGAACAAAACGTGTTATTGTTGTTGTTGTAGCAGCATACAAATTCCCCAAAGATTTTTTGCGGAGTGTTGCTGGAGTAACAGTCCTTGGTCAGATATAAATCGGGGCCGTTCCGGTTACGTAGACCAGACTGTCGTGGGAACGGTGTGTACCTTATACTAGTATTTTATATGAAGGGATTCACTACTTTGTTTCAAATTCTTCTTTTACGATTTCCAATATGAGCATCGTAATCAGCAATGTTAAAAAAATTGAGTACCTGGGCTTCAATTTAAATGACAGCAACTGCATGCATTTGCAAAACTGTCCATTGGCCAATTGCAAAGCCGCCTATCATACGGCACTCGACATTTTACAGGAGAGCATAAGAATGGGTTTTCTTTGAAGGCATTACCTTGATTTGCGGTATTTTGTCTGCCTATTATATCATAAATCTCGATGCCAATGTCATTTTTGCCACAACGCCGTTTTAGGCGGTTTTGTAACTGGTCGATGGGCGGTTTTGCAGAGGCATGGACGATATCAATCACTAGAAAATTATGCTTAAGTACACATATTAAACAACACATAAACTGAAATGTTTGCGAATATCGTTACAGATCTAGCTTTTATAAGAGTGCAGAGTCTACTGTCTAATGGCACCCTTGAACCAGTGTCAGCAGTAACTCATGCACAATTCACAAGTGGCCAAAATAATCTTCCGTTGTTTTTATTTTTTTATTTTTTGTTTTGATGGTCAATTGGAAACTGCAAAATCATATAAAAACAGCATCTGCCACCAGTCAACTTGTGTACCCCCCTCCCCCAATATTGCTCATCCATTCCTCATTAACAAGTATCCCTAAAGTATCTTTTAAATTTAAAGATAATTATTTTTTATTTGTTAAAAAACGCAGGTTTTGCAGGTCAAATTATAGTTAATTATTAACATAATTACTTAAATCCTTGATGGGTACAACATCTGCAAAGAGAAATATGAGCGATCAACCTTTATTCAGTTCAGAATTTGTTTAATTTAAACTTACAATGCGAATACGGTGACCCATTGCATGACCAGGCAAATTCCTGTTGAAACGTGCTCGCACGGATCCGGTGTTACCATGTAGACGGGTCACTTTACCCCAGATAGCGCGGATTCTGGTCTTACGTTCCGGATGCTGGGGCACGCACTTCTTTGTCTTCGCTTTGTAAACATATACACAACGCTTGCCAACGTAGAAATGACCGTGTTCCTTGCGACGAGCACCCTCAATCTGAATAAAACAATATACGAAAATACATATCATCCCTTCCTGTTAAAGATTTCCATTACCCACCTTCAAGATAGCCTGATTTTCATGTTGATTGCGTAGACCACGCTTGTAACCAGTAAACACTGCTTTGGCAAAAAGGCGTCCATGACGCTTGTATTTAGGAGAAGCAGCAACTGGTGAAGTAGGCTTTTCAATCTTTGGCGCTTTAGCCTTGGGGGCCTTGGCAGCCTTTGGAGCTTTGGACGCTGGTGCAATAGCAGCTTGTGTGTCAGCCATAGTAAACTGTAAGCAGATAGAAGCACAAATCTGATTAATTAAAACTTGTCAAATCACTCTTAAAACAAATATTGCACAAGTATTCGGCCTCCCTACAGCCTTGAACTATTCCAATCTGTAAATTCGTGTCCCCAACCAGTTCCATTCACAAACATTTTGTCCAGTCAATTTTTTCTATCCAATTACATCGACTCTCGTCGAGCTGCTGCAGCGAAGCCAAATACTTGTACGCACAGAAAAACATTTTATTTTTCGCTTCCATGAAGAAGTTCGGGTATTTATTTTTGTTTTTAGCGATTTTTTTAATTATTTCGATGAGTGGTAAAAATATCGCGTACGTACCGGAAACTTGACAAATGGCGAAAGAGAGAAAAGATGAAGACACGAATGAAATGTCAAAATCACCCAATCTTGGGAAATTATTCAATTCCTCTCAAATGCCTCAATCAAATTAATCGAAGGAATGTTGCCATCCCGTAAAGATAATGGTCTACACACATTGGTCGCAACATGGAATTAAAAATAGATCGAGTATACAATTCCAAAGCGTTAACAAAATTCCATAAAGCAAAGCGCACATTAGCGCGAGTCGAAGACAAAAATTACAATAATGCCACCCATATACTTTAATGAGCTAGCTCACACTTGTGCAATTCCGTCGCTGCGAATTTTTTTTCGCGTTCGAAACGCGGCTTGCTGAGTTTTGAAGCCATCAAAGAAGCAGAATAAAAGTTTCATAGCAATAAATGCAAAGAAAAAAGAAAATGTTTGTATCAATCCTAGTTTATATGATGTGGACACGCGAAATATAAAAAATATCCGCAAAAAGGGATAATTCAGTGAATTATACATCGAAAATCGACGCGAAAAAGTTTGCGGATTCGAGGTTAATAGCCACATTCGCAACGCATGCGCTTCACCTAAGACATTCAATCAATTACTATTAATAACTATTACTTTGTAAATTAATAGGGAATGCACATGATTCAACTTTCTCAGGCGATTAGTTGTATCAAAAGTTGAACGAAAGTAGTCAGCCGACCAACTTCGTTGAAAGTGATTAGCTAAAGGACAGTTGACACCAGGCGATTGTTGCTTTCAACTAAACGTTGCCTAAAAAGTCGCCTTATGTAAATTCCCTATAATATACGAAAGTTCCTTAAATGATGCATTTGTCCTCAGAATAATGATTTTTTCGAGCACGACATATAGAAAGTCATCCGTGACGAACGGCCTAAAAATATGAGTTCATATATATTCTGTCAATAATGACAGCTAGTCATGACGCTTTCACAAACATTGTCTACATTAGATTAACGCAATCAAATATTTGCCAGGTGTGAAATGTGCTCTGGCCTTAATCTGACGCCTTCAATCAAGAATGATAGCATACACTCGCTCCGCTGCACCGTGGCCTTCAATGTCACGATGCAGCGAAGAAAGGTGACGCCCGTCAACATACCTCTACTTTAGTTTTGCCGATTTTGACAATTCTGGTCTACAAGCAGAATTTCTAAATGCACTGAAATTCACTAATACTTGCACAAAAATTTCCATTTTTTCACATTTTCCATATTAATTCTTATTGTAAATTTCATTTCACACAGCAGATTGACAAAACTGTCTCACCATAGTAAAAATATTATTCAACAGCTTTCCCCCTAGAACTTTGTTATCGATTCACACATGCCCTATATATTCCTTCTCCAAAAATATTAGGGTTCTTCACACCGGGCTTGCTACTCGGTAACTCGGTGTTCAGTAATTTTTGCCCATGTAGTTTGTTTGTGTCAAATTATTTTATTATCGGTTTACCGGTTATAGGATTATCGTGGTGGAAGCTGGATTATTCTTCTGGTTGTTGGTGAATTGCCATCGGCTGTTCGATATTTAACCAATTTTAAATCCGTCCGCTGCCGAAAGGTGTAAGGCATATGAGTAAATAAACTTCCTTCAATTTTCTGTTACAATTTATTTCTTTTTTTTGATGGTAAAGATCTAATCAGCTGTTGATAAACATAGTTTACCAGAATAACAAAAGAAAGCTGAAAAGGACATTCACAGTTTATAAAATTACTGAGTACGAACTAGAAGTTTACCAACTAGCAAGTGTGAAGTACCTTAATATTAAAAACATTGGCTTTGTTTCTTAACAGATAATTATCACTAATTTCTGCTGGAGAGCGTTTCTTAACCCAAAAAAATAGGAGAAACTAGCAGCTCTCTCTCGTTCCTACGCTCGTTTTTTTGGCTCACCTGCTAATTTTGCTAGTAAAATTTTTACTAGCGGAGACTAGCAGCAGTCAAAATGGATTAACAAAAATTCGCATCAAATATCTACAAAAGTCAAATACATCGATCTGCTGTTCACTGCTAATTTTCGATTCCTTAAGCAGTGTTTGCATTATTTAACTTTGCGTTCAACAATTGCGTTCAACTCAACGCAGGGTTGCACGAAAAAAAATTGAATGGCTAAATGTTGGCTGGCGACCAACTTTGTTGAAAGCGATTAGTTAAAGCCATTCAACCAAAAGTTGAACAATGCAAACACCTTTTTATGGCGAATATTTTGATATTTTTTCATATTTTGATATTTTTAGCCATTCAACTTTTTTTTCGTGCAACCCTGCGATGAGTTGAACGCAAAGTTGAACAATGCAAACACACTTTTACTGCGGAACGGTTTCTGACGCCTAGCGTTAGCGCCGAAGTGCCATACCTAAACAAAAGCGTCAACGCTACGTCAAATGCAGAAATAACACCAACAATAAGCATAGGTTTGTTTGTGTGTAACACAAAAATGACAGTTTCGCCGTTTTCTGCAGTCAACTTTAATACCTAACGCCCTGTCAAAATCGGGATTTCCAACGCTCAGCGTTGACGCCGCGTTGTTTCGGTATGCTTTATACAAATTGTATGGGCGTGAGAATTTTTTGACAGCCAGACAACGCTGACGCTTTTGTTTAGGTATGGCAGTTACTTTTCTATATTTCGCTCTCTGTGAGCGAATTCTCTCATTTTTCCCATTCTCTTTCTCTTCCTAATAATTATCTGCTAGAAAAGAAAGGAAACAAAGCCACTAATACAAATTTCCCAATAACACCAGATACAACTCTGTATTTGCCGTTTCTCTGGACTGGTAATACCGCCCAAATATCTCTGTGCGAATAAAAGCAACAACAGCAAACAAAACAAAAATATTTCACCATTTCGATTAGTAATTTTGCATTGTGCGCTAGCGTTGAAGAATTTTACGTGTCAATATTAAGAAAAACTGGTTGCTTACAATTAGCAAAAAGTGCGAAGAAAACATTTAAGTATTCAATATGAGCAAAAAGGTTGACTTCCCGGAATTGCGAGCACAATTAGAAGCTCTAAACAACAAAGAACTGCACCACAAATGCGTCGAACATGGCATGAATGTGCCAGTAGCCGACTCAACTCGCGATGTCATCATTCGCAAATTAATCAAGACGATAACCGGTGGGGCGACGGTTGTTTCTCCCAAGGCCAACAAGAAACAAACTTCCACACCAAATGATCGGCGTAAGACTGTAAATGTAACTGTGCACGTTTCGAGCGATGAGGAAGAGGCGGGGCGGCAAAAGCAACCACCCGCCACAAAAAATAGGACACGCACACAATCACCTAAAGGACACAATGTGACCTTTGATACAACTGTAGACAACCATCGCCATACTTTTGCTGCGCCCGCACCAGCCCCAAAACAGCAAAAATCACCTGCGGTTGATGTCAATACTAATGTTGGAGTGGGGCTTGGCAGCAAAGCACGTATTGTGCCCATTGAAGTGGACTTGTTTAATACTACTGACCATGATGATTACAACATTGAAGTAAGTCGGCCTAGTTTGAATAGGGCACCAAACAACGACATTAACTTCAACAAAGGAAGGAACTTTACTGAAGGATATAACACCACTCATCCGAACCAAAATTATGACAGCGGTTATAAGGGATCATCACCTAATTTAAGTTATAGCCAGCCTCGAACTCTGAATAGTACATATCAACAGGATCTGCGAGAACCTCTTATTAGCAACTATAACTTTGCTTCACCCAATTTGGGATTCAGCCAAACGCGTACTCTTAACACCACTTTTCAGCAGGACGCCAACTCGTCGTCAAGACAAGGATTTATTGCATCGCCCCAAGGACATGAAAATACTGGATCACTTGGTTTCTATACAGCTGGTTCCCCATCGAACTCTTTTAATATTGAGAACATGGCCAGCCACTCATCCACTCTTGGTGGAACATCTCCAAGTGCAAAGGAACCACTTTTCAAGCGTCCAACAGCACTTTCTAAAACCAACGTGACTTCGTCTTCTTATAATCAGGCTGATGCACAACGTTTGTACCCACGATTACCTACAGATTTAGTTACCCCACCAACGTACACGTCTTCGCCTCCCTCTACACCGGATTCTCAACAGTCTACACGTTCTGGGCGTGAGCCTTCGCTAACTAAATCCGGTGTAATGACCACTTCATATTATCAGGAAATTGCACCCGTAAAAGAGGTGAAACACTTTGAAGTAGAGAGTGGCGATGAACCAGCTGACGTTGGTGCACGTGACTACAGTCGCAGCAATACAGCTGCCAGTCCAAATTACAACCGATCAAGCTATCTTGCAGGCATTCAGCGTGGCACAGAGGCACATATGCCATTTGAATCAAATCTACAGTCTACTTTACGCGATTCAATATACACTACACCGCGTTACGCTAGCAGTCCGATTACTAAGGAAACATATATACCTAGTACCGCGTCACCAAAAGCACCACTATCACCAACACTAAATCGCTACTCTACTACAACACGCGCCAACACCAGCTACACGCGCAGCATAGATGAGCCTGATAGCGGCTCCGAAGGCGAACAACTCTCTGGTGATGAAATATATGTGCAGGACAGTGATGACGAGGAGGAATACTTGGCAGATACTAAGAAAATTTACAGCAGCTATGGCAGTAATAAAATACAGGAACGTGTGCCATATCGACGCAGTAATACGGCGAGATTGAACGCCTCGCCAACGGCACTATACAATCAATCGGTAGCCGGACGGAGCTCGTTTAATCCAGACGACGATGATGACGACATTAATGCATCGCTGAAGAACTTTCTTACAACATTAGATCGAAAATATCATATTAAGCAAATGATGTATATGTTCGCCATCTTCGCAGCAGCAGTTTTCATTTATGTTGTCTTCTTCGAGAAGACACCAATCGATGATGACGATGTGGTGCAGGCCACCAAAATGAGAGCTTGATGTGCACCACATGCGAGAAGTGCTAGTGTGGGGTTACGGTAGAAGCAGATGAATAAGCTACACTAAAACAAGTGCTTAAAAGAGGAAAACGGTATCTGTAGTTAGGAAAGTATGTATGTATTCGTTAAAAACTTAAAGGAAATGAACAAAATTTATTTAAAATCAGCATTATTTAATATTATATGAACAATGGACTACACCTTTTTTTTTGGTAATGTGTTTTTTTTCGTTATTTAGCAGCATTAAAAGCTCAATATGTTTATTATAATAATAACTTAGTAAAAAAAATAATAATTTGTAAATCTTGTATTTAGGCATTTATTGCATAAATAACAGCAGCCATTCAATTGGTGCAGGTTGCCTTTTTTCGTTACTATACGCATTTAACTATATATAACAGTAAATTTATGTATTCATGTATCGTTCACTTGTATTGTACGCTCTATTTTTTGACGTTCAAAGTAATAAAGCGCTAAAACGCATACCACAGAGCAAACCCAAATATATTAAGAGTCTTTCTATTTTAGTTAGATGACGTCATTTATATTTTTGGTTAGACTCATTTAATAATACGTCAACATCTCTTTGTAAGCGACTGATTCACTTTGGAAGAAACAAATTTTGGATATACATTCATATAATTAAATATGTACATGTGGATGTGCGAATGTGTGTCTCCATTGGAATACATATGTATGTATGTACATACATTTGCGAGAACATATCTAAAACTAGAAAAGATTCGTTCGAGTAATCATAACTTCTATAAGCGGTCAGTTTTGTTAGCATTTTGAATAGGCTTGTCAATAAATTGTTACCAAATTAAATGATGTGCCCAGGGAACCTGCTTTTTTGGACGAGGTGGGACCAAAGGGGCGGAAAAGGTCAGGTAATTAGCCGAAGGTCAATGAAACTTCCTCTGGTGATTGAGGAGGCTTCTAAATGTAGAAGTTAAACAGTAATAGGAACAGATTTGATCTGTAAAGATTGCCTTCTGAAGAGGTTTTATAAAAAGTATCCGCGGACTTTTCCCGCTATGTGGTATTGATGTTCAATTTCGTCCATCTAACGCATTTGAGAGCTGACATTTCAGGCTACATTTTAAGTTATTTTGATAAGGGTGCGTTCAGAAATGCATCAAGCCAAAGCATCAGTCTCTTTTACTTCTGTATTATAACTGATGCAAATGCCTTATTTACGCAACTAAGTTCCAATTAGGCATTTAACGTGGTTGCGCATATTGCATATTTTCATTAATAACAGTTTAGAAATCAATACGTATGATGCTGTGGCTTGATGCATTTCTGAACACACCCAAATATGCTATGTGATGCTTGTTTAACTAAAAAACAAGGCGAGAAAACTGCTTTCCTTCGAATCCTGTAAACCCTGCAAATCTTAAGTACCTGTAACAGCTTTTTTGATGTGACCGGCCGGTCGCAATCCCAATCGGGTCCAAGACCGGTGACAATCCGACTTCAAAGTCAGTATTAGGTGTTGGGTGGTATTCAAGGAGAATTGTCCATTATGAACGAAATGATCTATTCGTTCGGCTATTGCGCACAACTCCACCATTTGAACGACCCAATCAAGAAAGAGCGACCAGAATCGGTTAACAGAAAACGAGTTTTGTTGCTAATGGTAATTCCACGTAGTCATTGGGCTTCATCGGCTTGTTCTAGATCTTCAATTGCTCTTCCCATTTCTTCTGTTTATGCTGGTTTAGATGGCAGTATGTATTTTATGCGATTACAACATACTTAAACAACAATGAATATTAAATACTACTTTGTACCGAGTTAAAAATTTGTTTTATTTATGTCATAAACATTTTTTATTTTATTTTCATAACATTAAAATGTTTATTAATTTTTTTTAATGTATTAAACCTTCGAATTTAGCTCAATTACTTGTATAAATACATACTCCATTTTTAACATAAAAAATAGGAATAGGGAAAGATTATAAATTTAGCCTACTATTTACAAATAAGATTACTTGAAATTTTACAGCAAATTATTCTCTTGCAGATTATAAGGTATCGCAATCAGGTTAAGCGGCACGATTTTATGGACAAAAAATCTTATGATTAATAAACAATTCAAGTGCGTATGCAAAGTCTTTTGAGCGTTTAATTTATTACAGCACTTACGAGTTAAGAACTAACTTTCCAATGCATACCTACATATAGAATGATAATTTTGCAAAAAAAAAAAATCGCTGTGCATTAATTTAAAGAAAAGAACATACCCACAATAGCGATCGCATGCAAATAATGCAAGCTAGCTTACGTGATCGCATGGCAACAGTAGCAACACACGTTCAATACACGCTTATATGATACTTTAAAATAGAAGACCTAACAACAAACCGACTTAATCTAGGTATGCGCTAAGGTATATTTGTTAATAGATTTATCCTGAGGATTATGGTACTTCTAATTGAAATGGAATTTAAATTGGAACGGTGACCCGTGTTGGAAGTGCGCAAATGGACTGCCACCTCGGAAGCCACCCCCTTGTTGATTTGCCTCGGGGTCGAGAGGATCCTGTCCCATGTCGAACTGTTTTCGTTTCTCGGGATCGGTCAGTACTTCTTTGGCTGCCGCAATATCGATGAATTTCTTTTCTGCGATCTTTTTTTCATCATCTCTGAAATTGTCTGGATGCCATTTTTGTGCTGCTTTGCGATAAGCTTTGATAATTTCTTGCTTATTCGCATTACGTTTTACACCGAGAATTTTGTAATAATCCCGCCGTTCAGCTTGTTTTTGCAGTCTTTTCGCTTTCTCTATACCCTCCTTAGCGCGTTGCAGACTCTCGTCCATTTCTAACGCTTTTTGATAATCATGTATGGCATCATCGTACATCTCTGAGCCCAAGTAGGCATCAGCGCGTTCACAGTACAATTGTGGGTCACTCGACAATTCAATCGCCTCCTTACAATGGCTCAAAGCTTTGGCATACTGTTCGTCGCGTGTATAGCAGGTGCACAATAGTCGTTTAGCCTCATATATAATCATATTTTCCTCCTTCTCTTGCTTTAATGCGGACTCCGCAGAAGATATACAGTCCGCATACTGTTTCTCCTCGCGCGCGTTTTCAGCATTCGACAAGCTCTTTTCGACTTTTCTTAGCTTCTTGTAGAAGGGGAAGCAGTCTTTATGTTCGGGATCAAGGTGCAGACACTCACGGATCTCTTTGAGCGCATTTGTTGCCTGTCCCATTTTGTATAACAGCAATGCAATGCGATAATAGCCTTCTGTGCTGTCCTGTGACAATTTGTTCACGGAACGGAGATCGGAGATGGCAGGTAGTAGATCATTTATGGCAATATAAGCGTCAGCACGCGTCTGACGGAACTCCACAGACCACGGCGAGATCTCAAGTAGTTGTGTAATCATTGGAATGATATTACGTTCGTCGCCACGATATTTGAGATCTTTTATGTTTTCCCATTGCTCCATAGCAGCATCACTGCGCTTATAGTACTCGTTTGCACTATCATTATAGGGATCCTCTTGTAACACTTGTTCAAAATCTTCTACTGCAAGCTCATATTCTCCGCTCTTTACATGCACAATACCGCGCTGCATTCGCGCCGCAGTGAAATCAGGCTTCAGTTCCAAAACACGAGTGAAATCTGTTATTGCGAAACGCGC